ACTTGTACTAACATCAGGCAAGGCCTAAATTAAAAAAAAAGATGAATATTAAATAAATACAAAAAAAAATAATAATATAAATATTAATATACCAACCTCTTCTGTTACGATTTCTTTCTCATTATACTTGTCACAGTTTTAACTATTATCAAAATTGTCTTCCGTAAATACCGTATTAGGGTTTACACTATGCACTTCATTTTTATCAAAATCTTGCTTATCATTTAAATCTGTCTCTGATTTGTCATTAAGTAATGGCTTATCTATATTTTGTTTTGATGTTTGTTTTGTCTGTTGTTTTTTCTCAGAACTATCCATATTCTTTCTTTTTTTTGCTAATGATTGAATATTTTTTTCTATCATATTAGACCTTATTTGATATGTATTTTGTTTCTAGATGATTTGCAACAAATGAGTTAGCAATAAATAAGCTAGAAATTATGACTTCCATTATAGATAATTACCTCTTTTTCTTGTAATACAATTTCTTTTGTGTTAGTAGAAGTTTTTTTTTCTTTAATTCTTAGGTTATTCCAAAACTGTTGTGCACTTGAAGAACCAATAAAGCTATCAAAATTATGAGACAATCTTTCAGCTATTATAGCAAGTTTATCACCCTTGGAACTAATTGTTTTTAATGCATTTTTTCGGCCTTATCTTTTTGAAAAAATATAAATCCTGCTTTTTTAAAAAATTTAACAGCACTAGTATCTCCAGAAGATAAAATTTCTTCCAACAGTTTAACATAATCCTGTATATAAATATTAATATCACAAATTACTATCAACAAATTCAACTGAGCTATGATAACTATAATACAGACCATAGTGTTGATTCTAAAGCATAAAAGAATATATAGAATATTAGTAAAAACCAAGAACAAAATCTCATAAATTTGAAACCTGAAACCTTCTCCAGATAATATAAAATTGGTATACAAAAATACACAAAACGCATTGCTATGCACCTGTTTCAGAGACAACACCTGAGGCAGAACATATCCCCTCAGGATTTAAAGCTTGAAAGCACTGGATATAAAAACCAAAATCAGTACACAAAATGCATTGCTGTGCACCTGTTTCGGAGACAATACCTGAGGCAGAACATATCCTCTCAGGATTTACAGACTTGAAAGTACTGAATATAAAACCAGAATCTTATACATCTTTTAAAGGTCATTATATCATACATATAACCATTTCAAAGACAACACCTGAGGCAAAATGTATTCTCTTAGGATTTACAGGCTTGGAAATGTCAGGTTTATAGAGGTATACAATAGAAATCCATGCTTAACTTCTTTGTTGATAGATAGTTTGTATGCCTAGCTTGTATTATAGATCTGAAGTATATTACAAGTTAATTATACAACCTTTTTTAAAGATGAGAAATGTCTAAAGCCAATCTTCCCCAGCATTGCCACATTGCCAACAAAATTTTTTGATCACGTGTTTAGGGTTAGCATTTAAGAAATATAGTAAAATTTCTCAAGAAATTTTTTTTGTTAGTGTATTAAGAATTGTTTTTTAAGAGATAAAGGCAGTTTTTCTTGTTTTGATTATTGGATAATTTGTTGTAGATCATCACATGATTGAAAAATTTTATCATAGTTACATATATAAAAATATAATTGAATTTATTCTAACATAGTAATTGTTTTTTTAAAAAAATGTAACTACCATTAATAATATTACAGAAGACTCTTTATGAATGAGGCTTTAAAATATCTTGTGTATCTCTAGAATTCACCCTACCTTGGTATACCTCACTTAGAGATGATTAGTAATCTAAAAAAATAGTAATGTATAGTAAAAATATGCGTTAAAGCTTTTAATTAACTCACAAAGCATAACTAACTTGTTTGAAAAAAGAGCTTAAAGGCAATATATGGTAACTTTATAATAATATTAGATTAAAATATATTACAATACTTGAAGCTTTATTTAAATATAAATAAACATTCAGTAACTTTATATTTCGGGATCTTTGAAATTAATAAGTCCAGATTTGATATTATTTAAGAACGTAATAAAAAACTTGTTTGTTTTTTTTAATAAATAAGTTCTTCATCATTCATTTGTAGTTTATATTTAAGATAGATTGTTTAACGTTTGATAAAAAAGTTCATTTATTATAATTTTATATGACGATAGGATGTATATTATAACTTTTCTGTCTAAATTAAAAATTGTATTAATCATTTCAGTTTATTTTTATGTAAGGTATCATTCACAATTTACGTTAAACTACTATGGTATTGTATATTGTATAGTATAAAAATAGGGAATGCTATATAGTATTATGTTTGTATTATCTTTAAAGATCTTTATGACAATACTGGTTTAACATAAATTGTGGATACCACCTAATATTGAGTTGTCATGTATTATATGAATTCAAGGTTTTTAGTTAGTACATGTATTGTTACAATTGTTTAGGAGAGCTTTCACAATTTAACTCCAATATTAACTTATATGTTCTTTATATTAGAACAGAGATATTAAGATAAATAATACAGTTGATTATAATACGTAATTGATTTAAGATCAGGCACTTAATTATATCTACCAGTAATCAATCAAGTAATTAAATTTGGTTATATAATTGTAATTAAATTGATCAATAATCAGTACGACTGATATTAAGGGTCAATACTTATAAGGTAATAGAGTAATAGGGTATTAACAAAAAGTGTATCCCTTAGATTGTAACACAGGCAAATTTGCCTGCATATTTTAAAATTTTTAATAAAATTTTAAATATTGATT